AAATGAAATGATTGCATGAATTCAATTCAAGAAGGTAACAGAGAAAAATACTATAGTAATTTTCCCCCTCCCTCCCACAACTTTTATCAGTATGTTGATATATCACAACAAGCCTGTCAGCCCTTCAGAGTAAACCAGACTAGGAAATGAAAGTCATGTAGGCCAATACTACGTATACTGTAAAGTTATAGAAACAGAGTCTTGCAACTCTGAATGCCCCTCCCCCTCTCTCCAGTTTCTTCCTATTTACACATATTGTCATACCAAGACACTTGGTTACTTATATTCATTGTTTAAAATTGCAGCAGAAAAGTTAAATTTTGTCCTCTAAGCTCACTGTTAGGATGAAGCCCAAACAAGTCAAGGCCTACATGCCTCCCAGAAGGTAACTTTCTTCTAGATGTAATCCTGGACTGTGGGGAATGCCTTGGGTCTTTCATTAAACATAATCATTACCACCACCAAAACTCTTAGAGAAAGACCCTTTGCACTATGTAGATTCCTTTCAGACTTTTACTTTGGATTTGATTAAAGATGGATGTTCTCTGAAGTAGTATAATTTGGACTGAGAGGAAAAGGAGGGTGGAAAGGGAAAACTGTACATGCACACAGACCTCTGGATTCTAACATCATTACTGGGTTCAGCCAGTGAAATGCCCTTTCTGGATAAGCTTACTTGTTCCTTTAATACAGTTTTCGAGATAAGCCCATTTGTATTGACTTAAGTCATCTAAATTTTGCTGTAACAACTATAGCTTTTCTTTTTTACTCTGAGCATTGTTTCTCAATTTAAGATGGGATTTGTTTCAGTGTTGCATCACTCTTTAATGTAACAGTCATGGTTGTCCACGGGGAATAAGAAGGGCAAAGAATACATGTATCACATCAATGCCACAACCTACATACTTGCCTCACATATCAGGTTGCAAGAATGTAATGATGTCATTGGCATGATGATGTTACTGTATGTGTGTCTTCAATTTGTCATCATCGTGGTATGATAATGAAACCCTGGAAGAGCATCCTCCCAGAGGTACATATGGCTTCTACCCTTCAAATGTTCTGGAAGTCTCTTGAGACCAGACTCTCTTCCCATGACTATGTTTAGAGTATTTGTGGAGCCCCTGATTTTTCCACACATGTTATTTATGTAGTTTTGTCTGTAGTTTATGCAGTCATTTTCCTTTTGAAATTATGTATTATTTTAAATATTGTAAGCTGCCCAGAGTCTTTTTGGATTCAGGCAATTGGAAATCCAATCAATCAATTTAAAAAGAAATTAATATGCTTATTTTTATTCTGGTCAGATTTAGATAGCATCAGTACAAAATCAAGAGAATTCCACTGTTATAGTAGATTCCAATTAAAAAAAAAAAACTTAGCCATACTAATCAATGAGAAATAAAATCCAAATAAAGATACTGTCCTCCTGTAGAATCTGACAGAATTTAACTTTTAACTCACTTCTGCTGTCATTTGCAGATACCACATGGAAATACAATATAGACATATCTTCATAAAACTTAGAAGAAATCAAAGAGATATAGTTATTTTACCGTGTAATCTTGAATGCTTGTCATTGCAAATTGTGGTGGAAAAGCAGGTAATACAACTGAGGCTGCAATCAAGTAAATTTCCATAAAAAACCAAAGGTCATCATTCAGACTAGACTGAGGAATAAATTAAAAACATGTTTTAATTGCATTGTGATAAAACGTCAAAATAGAATAGCTATTATTAATCTATTAGTTAGTAAGCTTAGAAACAATGAAGAATATTTAAATAAAATAAATACAACCAATCATCTGTAAATGTTATTCTTTGAGTTTTATTTCACGGTTACTGTAGCAAATGGCCAGACTGGGGAGGGGCCGTCTTGACCTTCTGGCTGTGACCTTTGGCCCCTCCTCCCTTCTGCTCAGGTGCAGAAGGGAGGTAGGTAGTTGATTATGTAGTACTTTCCTGCTCCCACAACCCATCTTCTGGAGGAAGGAAATGTCCTGACCAGACTCCTCCTACTTAACCCTTCTGAGAGAAATGGAAATTTCACATTCTGAGCAACTTAATCATTCATAAACTGAGAATAATAATAAAGATAATAACAACCACAAGGAAAATTAAAACTCTGTAGCATCTCCTTGTGGCCTTAGTGGCTTTGAGCTATATGGCCAGAGAAAAAGCAGTTCTATTTTTTTTTGAGTAAATGCAAACAAAAGCATCATTTTTGTGATTTAACAATGAATGTTATTAGAAATAAGAAAGCTTGTGTAGCCAAATGCCCAAACCATTCAGCTGGATGGAATAAGGCATTTAGCACTGATAAGAACACAAATAGAGCTTCAGACATCAATTTTCCAGAAAATGCTTTGGGGAAACTGGACACAGATCCAGATGGATCTGAGGTTCAAACAGCTTACATGGAACAAAATATATAAAATTGGAGTTTACACAAAGACAGTAAACTTCTAATACAAACAACAGAGGAAAATTCCTTGAAAAATATAGCAGGCACATTCCAGATATCAGAATCCATACAGCAGACTAGCAGACTGCTAGACTTTAAAAGAATCTGATCACAAATCTGTGCCTACCACTTTTACTTGACCTCAGAGAGGAGGGATTTCCTACAGCTGTCTGGTCCTGAATAATCCCTGACATCCATAGATTGCAACCTTCAATTGAAGCTTTAGAATCACTTTCCCTTAGCTCCTGTTGACTATCTAGAACACTGTTTCTCAACCTTGGCCACTTGAAGATGTGTGTACTTCAACTCCCAGAATTCCCCAGCCAGCAAAAACTGATCTAGAGATTTCTGGGTCACACTTAGCTCTTCTCTTACTACAAGTTTGCCATTGCTTTCTCTTCTGATAAAATATCCAGAAAGGTTATTATCTAACTCCTCTTTTGTGAATGTGATCCTCTCAAATAAATTGCTGGTTGTCTTTATGTTGATTATCTTTATTATGACAAACCTATAATCTGCATAAACCATATTTTGGTTTGTATTAGTGGGAGGACTATTGTTTTAACTGTTGAATTACTGTTTTTGCTATAAACCCTGAGACGAGGGATTCCCTGGGGTTCCTCTGATGCAATTATGCATGGGAAATGTCAAAATTTTATAGATACCTCACCCCCATTCATTAAGTTCCCACTCAGTCCATAACAGTTAGTTTCTGAGGCTACTGAAAGAATTGATGATAGAAACACAGGTATAATCATAAAAACATAATGCAATTAAAAACAGTTACAGCCAATACAAAATAAATACATATAGTTGCTGAGTAAAATTATCACCATAGATGTCAATATAGCCAGGAAACTGGGCCCTCAACACATGCAGGGCCCCAGGCCCGGGCACATAAACAGATCTTCAAGGCCTTATGAAAGGCCAAAAGGGTTGGGGTCATCCTAATTTCTGAAGGGAGGATGTTCTCTGAAGGGAAAATAGCTGGGATAGAAGTGCAGTAACCATTGGTGATGTCTGTGAAGGAGGGACAGCAAATTTCTCTAAACTTGGAATGAATGGGGTTTGTTTACCAAGTAGAGATTTAGGATGACTTATACTGATTTTGTGCATTAACTGTTGGTGCAGAACCAATTGAAAAGGCCCCAGTTTAATCACCAATTTCAACTCTAACATTTGCAGGGCACTGTTAACTATCCAGAAGGTCAATAACATATTATAGAGATCTAGTCTCCAAAGAGACATCACCTCTCTCTTTCATAGTAAGGGCAGAATCATGACAGAATTAAAAAAGACCTCCGGCAGCTCTATGAAGAATGCACTAGATGAAGCAAAGTTCAGGGAGAAGCTTTTCTTGTCAGTGTTCACTGTCTCTAGAATCTTTTCCTAAAGAAAGTTTGTCAGAGAAATTTTAGCCTGGGAAATAAAGGAAGACCTGGAAATGTTTATAAGAATCCATAAGGTGGAACTCTTTCAGAGAGAGGAGATACAGGATGATAGCTTACTCTTATCTCCTATAGTCCCTGCTTCTAAGCCATTCAGTAAAGATGCTGGCAGAAAAATTAAGGAAGTAGAGGAAAAATTAGGAAAGTAATTACAAAAAAGAACATTTAAAATATTATGGAGAAAGCATTGAAATAAAACAAACAGACTAAAAGTAAATTTTCTGTTGTTTGGGGCTCAAAAGATTTAATGAAGCTTCTTGACTTCTTTTCATTGTGGCAATCGCATAAGAACTGAGTGGAAAGCAGCACACACTGAACATGCTTATGGAGGCTGAAGGAGTTGTGCTTGCCAAATCTAGCCTAACTTTCTAAACTGGGCAGAACTTAGAAGTGGTACACTGTAAACCTCACAGTGTAGCAACAGGATTTAGTGGTCTGAGAGCAAACAAGTACTGACAAATATGTTAACTGGAAAGTGCATGATGTTGTAGGACCAGTTTTATCTTTGTATGAAAAGCACTGTGCTCAGATGGTTCAGGAGAGAGTATGCAAAATTCTATCAGTCCTAACATAAATGCTAGTCTGGCACTGTTACCTGACCATTTTTTTTTTAAAACCATCTACAATGGTATCATTCAGACAATATTCATCTGGAATGCTATCTCACTGAATGCATAAAATTCAACTTCCCATTGAATGACTAGGGATGGGGCAACATTGCAGGAGATATTAATTGATAGAGAAGTTTTAAACTGTCCCACCACTTATGCTCCATAGCAATTGCCTTTTACCTTTACATAATATCCTGAAAAATATGAATAGGTTGTATTGGAAAGAAACCAGGAATATTTCCCCTGTTACCCCCTGCACATAAAAAAACTCATTTGATATCCCTCTGAAACACTTACCCTAATAAATACATGATTCCAGGTTCGAAGATGGGCAGTAGAATTAAACATGTGCAAAAATGCATTGCTGATGATGTTGATAAGGACAGGAAAGCAGTTAGTTATTTCTGTGTGGCACATAAATGTGAACCTGTATTTCTGGACCAAGGCAAGAAGTCAGAATACAAGTGAAGAAAGTGATGGGAGAACAATAGTTCCAAAGAAGGAATGTAATTTACATAATTGCAAACTTATCTAATGAAAGGTATTTCATTTTCTTCTAATTTGGAAGAAAAAAGGCAAAAAATGTGGGTGCATCTTTTTCAGGTTAAGGTCTACTTTTGGCCTTTGAGCTGAGATCCTCATTTCCTCCCAGAGTATGTGGGATCATGACAAAGAAGTAGGCAGAACCAGGACAACATTAATAACAGTTAGTATGATTATTTCAGACATATTTTATACTTTTATCCTTATGGCATATTAAAAATTTCAGTTTAGCAGCTCATCAGGCCATGCACTGGGAACCATATATTGCAGACCTCTGACATATACAGTACATGTCTATGTTTTTAAGGTATACCCATCCATTAAAGCAGAATGCAACCATTTCACAGAAATTTCATTAGAAATTGACCTTTTAATAGAGTTTTAAATTATTTATTTAGAATGGAACCTGCTCTACCCAAAAGTCTGGATCATAAAAAAAGCACATTCTTAACAAAGTAAAATAAAAATTCATCATATTAAAATAATTGTTGTAATCTTCCCCATAATATCCTTTCTTTGCATCAACACAATGCTATTTGCATCCCCAGTTCCCTACTTGGAACAAAGTTCCAATGGAAATGCTGAATAATTCTATTTCTTCTGATGAGAAGCTACTGGCTTTTTAGCATGTCTTCCTAATAGCTGTTTTACTTACAAATATGCAAGCAAAGCAGAATAGAGGCAAATGCATTCCTTCAAAAAAACAATATATTTACATCGCTAGGAACTAATTTCCAGAGAGCATTTAGGAATAACACTGATCCCCAGTCTCAGTTGCAATCTACTTAGAAATATTCTTTGTCAAATTCAGATGGCAAATCTGTCTTCAAATTATTTGCATTCTTCCTTGAAGATGTTATCTTTGATATTAAATTCCAAAGAGATTTCCATCCATCAAGATTTAACACTTTACTATTCTGCAAAGGACTAAATTATAACATAGCAGCAGAGTTCTGAGCATATGCTAGATTTATGCCATGGGGTATTTTGAAGGGCTGTAACTATTTTTCCCCTCTTGGAGCCATTCTCATTCAGATTTAGTAACAGGGACAGTCTTTTGCTTTTTAAATTATGATCTCTATAGGACACATAAGTATTATCACCAACATTGTGTTTTGCTTTGGAGCTTTATCATCAAGGAGTAAAAAAAACCCAAAATTGAACACTGTCAAGGAAGGATTTCAAATCCCTCTTCAAAGAAGAAAGATGTGATGAAGAAAAGCTGAAGATATGCAACATTTGGCTACTTTGGTTATTCTGTCCAGAAGATGATCTGGCCCTATATATGCTACACTCCTGAGAACTGGGGCCCATTTGAGATTATAGACAAAGAGTGGTCTATTTTCTTTTCTTTTACTATGACTCCACTAAAATACTACATTGTCTTCTTGAAGAGAAGTTATCGTCTCTTCAGACACGTCTTATTATATTCCTTGGTTCAGTCTCAAAAAGGAGGAAAAGAACTTATTGTTACCTTGTCTTCAAGGTCTACTCTTATGGCCCCATTGTGAACTAGCTGGTCACTGACATTGTTACCAGAGATAACATCCATCAGGATGTTCTGACTCTTCAGTGCCTTGATGAAATTGTCAATGTTTCCACCTGGAAAAGAGAAAAAAAAAATGAAGACAAAATGTATGTGCAGGGTATTTACTTTCCAAACAAAGAAGAAAGAACCCAAAGAATAAACAATACAGAATTTAAATCAAATTACGTCTGTAGCTGTATAGATTAGGATGGGAAACCATGGCCTCCAAACATTGCTGAATGAAATTTCTCAGCCATTTCAGCCAGCATAATTCCCCTTAATGATGCTTTCAAGGGCTGTGTTATAGCTGAGAACAAAAGTTATAATTCTTACACACTGACTTTGAGGTAATATATTTCATCAGATATTGTCTCAAGGAACTTAGAAGTGCTGAGAGTGCCAACCATCATGAGAAGACCCACCACTATAGAAAGAGCAACTTTAAGAGAGGTTTTCTAGCTGTTATTCAGTTGGCTGTATTACTTAACGCAATATTTTATGAATAATATATGCTGGTTTCCAATGCTTTTAAGAATAAGAGATGTTGCACAATTTGCTGATTGAACTAACCCTCCATCACAGTATACCTGTTTCACTTTTTCTTTTTTTTTTACTTCCCTGTGTTTTGTAAACCACCACTAAGTGGAGAAACCTCCCAATCTGAAACCCAGAAATCTTGGTATTCATTCATTGTAGATATTCGACAAGCAGCTGAATTCTAAATTGCTAAAACATGATTAAACCTATGTTGAATCAAAGCGTGTTCCAGGTGAAATTCCTTTTGCAGGGAGGGAATCTCCCATTAGATTTATTGTATAGTGCCTGGGCTAACTTTGTGCTAGTATTTCAGGTGTCTTCTATTTTAGATGAAGTTTCCATGTGCAACTCAATTTCTCCTTCACCCAATTCCTTCTCTGTCTTTTTTCCTTTTGCCTCTTCTCCTGGTAGAAGAGGATGGGGTTTCTCAGCAGAAACCACTTAAGTTTCATCCCAATTTCCTCCAATCAGATCATTTTAAAATAAGTTGGTGTCCAAAGTTCTTAAAGCTGGTATTATTTAGCAATACATTGCTAATAAGAGTTGGTTTAGGCAAGAATTCTGCCACATCTTTCTCCTGCATTCTGAAGCTAGATATAAATAATCAGTAAGACACATACTGTCTCACAACTCTGTGACCTTATTCTTCAGCAGATTTATGGTACAGCTCATGGCCAAGGGAGAACTCTCAAGCCAATTTAGGAGCCAACAGAATTAATCTGCACTAGGAATATCATATAACTATCTGAATGTTAAGAAATGCAATGTCTCAAAATTCTGTTTTGCATTCTTACCTGTATTATTAAGGATCAGAAGTCCTGATGTCCCCATGAAAAACTGCTTCCCTGGCTCAAAATAAAGCCCAGGGTGCATCTCTTCGTATTGAAGACTCAACCAAACACCATAGTTGGTAAAATAAATGATATAAGGTGCTAATATAGCTCCAGAAAGAAGTAACCTAGGATGAAGAGATACTGATTAAGCAAAGAAGAAAGGTGATGCCTGACCAGTTCTATTCTATTACATTTATAAAATTAGGCACAATAGAGCAGAAGCATTTGATAATTAATGAATTTTACTGATTATCAAATTTCTTGAAGGGTGGGGAGAGCAACTTCAGTCTTCCATACAGACTCCTATCTATATCAAGGTTTTAAACTGTTTGTAAGAAGCAAAGTAACTTTATGGAAGTGGAAAGGAAAGCAGATGTTTCCCACTTGTTGAGATCTCCCTTTGTACCCTGTATATAGTATTGTTTAGGAAACAGTAAATTACTTCTAAAAGATACTTTGGTCAGGCCCATTCACACTGGTCTCCTGGGGAAACACACTGAATGAATATTCTACTTCTAACTAGGTTTCTATTTAATAAATATTATATTTTCAAAATCTCAGAATAGTATTATCTACCCAGAGCTATTATGGCATTTCTGTGGTTTTGTAGTTATTTTATATTAACAAAACAGGTAAAGTGATAGTCTTCCAAATTTAAAAAAATGAGAAACCACCAACACATGGCATGGACAGGAATCAAACTGTTGTCATAGAAAGATTGAATGATTAAACTATTGACATTTCTGATTTGGTAGAACTGAATGATCTTGTCCCATTCCTACCTGCTGGTTTGCTTTAAAGGATTTCCTTCCATGGCAAGCAAGGAGGAGCAATTTAAGTATGCCAGCTTCAGGGCTGGGGTAGAATAAGCACTTGTGTGACAAGGGGCTGAGGTAGCTGGAGTCACTGAATTAATGCCTCCTGTCTGAGGTCATTGCTCTCTTTCCAACGTTGGAGGGAGACATTTGAAACATCATTATGCTCTCTTGGACCTTGTTCCTAGAGCTGTAGGTTTGCAACTTTAACGTGTTACTAAAATCTATTTTTTCTTTAGTTTATTCAAGATTAAGGGAGGCAAATTTACCCTATGATCACAGCATATGATCTAGTTTCCATACACCTGTATGCTCTACATGCATTAAATATAAAATTAATAAATCATTAAAAAAAAGATACTCACAGGGCTGCCCAGAGCTTGCTCTGCCTCTTGAGATTTAGAAAGTGCATTCTTGCAACAGCACAAACTTGTTGTCTCCAGAGCTCTGTGCCTTTCATTGTCACCTTTCCGGTATCTGAGAGCAACAGCTGATCCTGTTCCATTTCTTCCTTTTCTGTCGCTTCCTCTCCATGAAGAATTCCATAATCTAAAACCATTTTGAAAGTCAAATCCATATCCTTATTTCAGCTGAAGAAAAATCTTCTTGTTTATCAATGTTTGCCCTTTCCTCTTCTTAAGCCTATTCTTCTTGTTGGCTACAACCCCTGCTATTGAAAGATCACTCTAGCACCTTCCCTTGGGTCTTCAGAAATGGAAGAAGAAAACAATGAAAGTCTCACAGTACACTCTACCCACTCCCATAGTTATCACTCCAAACACACATTTTTCCCAGCAGGAAGACTAAAAATAGTACAATATTCAAAACAGTTCTTTACCTTCTTCCTTCATGTTTTCATTTCCCTCTAGCTTCAAGAAGACATCTTCTAGAGTTGTCATGGTTACTCCATAATTAATAACTCCTAGGTCTGTCTGATGATCCATATCACTGAACAAGCCTACATGTTGGGGGGGGGGGGGGGGGGGGGAAACACATACCAAACTGATACGTCCTTTTAACTTAAAAGAAGGATTCAAATACCCATCAGAATTTTGTGTAATTTCATCTGATTGAAAGAAACTGAAATTTTAGGTGAAGCTTTTCTTAATGTTTGCTTTTAACTTTTTACCTTGCCAGCCTATAACAGACCAACTATAGTCCAATTTATCTACATGTTGAGAAGGTTAATCAGTATATCCAAAGTAACACCATCTCAGAAACATAAAAATAATCAATCCAATGAAGGCAAAGTTCATTTTAGAACTTTGCTTTACTTTGCTCTCACTACAGAATCATTACTGCCCACTTCCCTGTGCAAAGATTGCAGATTTTTTTTAAAAAAAATACTGTTTATTCTTTATGTTTCTTTAAGATAGCTGCTGTTTGTAAACCGATATATAGTTCTGTATCTTGAAAGACTGGAAATAATTACAAAGGAGTGGTTTTGCACAGGACAGAAAGAGGAATGAAAAATATACAGAAAGTTTTTAATTTACCAAATTAAAAACAGTATTATGTGATTATCTAAAAAGCAGCATACTTTAACAAGAGATATGCTGGTTAATTTAGCACAGAAACAGATTCCATCAAGGGATTGTGAAAATGGATATGAGATAATATTCTGGCATTTTTAAAAGAAAAGCCGTTGAAATCATTATATTACTTAAGATATTCATTGTCCCCAAAGCAAATTTATATTATTGGATGACTAAAAAACAGTAGTTGGAAAGTACTGTATGTATTAATTTAAGCTCAACCTGGTGTGGAATACATTTGATTCTCTTTGAGAATTCAGTTCAACTCATTTTATTTTTCTATTGCTTTCTTAGACTGTTAGGGAACCTATCATTATCATTATTTTAGAGTATATGTGATATAAATATATACTATGTTATCTTAATTCTCTAATAATGAAATAAAATATTATACTCTGTAACTAAAGTATACATTGGTAAAAGAGCAAAAATATACTTTTTATACCTCAAGAATTACTTTGAAATACATTCTAAATGTTGAATTCACAAGATATTATCGACTAAAGCTATGGTTTACTTACAACAAATTTGGATTGGAATATGGGTGAAGATCTTCTATTTTTATAGATCTTGTTAATTAATGTTGGAATTGTGATCTCTTTATTTTGCTGTTATTTAATGATAATGGCTTTTGTCTGTGAACGATGTTTCTTGGGCACTCTTTATTATGTAACAGTTGATTAAATTACTTGGTTCTCCATTTTCATATGATTGATCATATGAAATTTAATTATAAACTTGATTTTTTAAATGGTTTTTACTGTGTTTTAATCTATATGTTGCTCAAAGGACCAAACATAGGATAATACAAAGATTTCATCTGATTTGGTAGGAGAGTAATATTAAACAACAAATTAACTCCCTCTGTTGTCCAGGAAAGCATGGATCATGTGACCTCAACTGTTTGGGCTCTTTTGGGAAACAGCAATTAAATTTATTGTTATTTATACAACGTGATAATTACCTGAAAATGTATCCACGCTTTGTAAGGGCAGGGTATAGCTCAGCACATTTTCACGTTGTCCTGATTTTTTTGCAGCAGGGATGTAGTGTTTGACCAGTGAAGATATTCTCTCAGAGTCACAAAACTCATTGGTATGCATCCTATTCATATTAAACAACAATTTAGGCCAAGAACAATTTCCAACTCATTTATTCAGGATATTCAATGAATCCTTCCACTGGAAAACCAGATTTCAGGCTTCCTAAACTTCCGTAAAGCAACTTAATGCTGGTACTGGAACTGACTTGCTATAATTAAATCAATTTTTAAATAAAATAGCTAGGATATATCCTAGCTCACAATGGCCTTACTAATGCAACATAGCATCCTTCATTCATATTTAACTAAAAAAATATAAATGAAAATCTTTTATCTCCTTGCAAATGCACCTTTAAAACAAATTTGATTGGGGTATATGTGTTAAGAACTTCCTCAAAACATTCCCAAATTGGGAAATATGAAAGCAGACCATTAAACAAGTTTTAATCATTTCATCTTGAAGGCCTGTCAAAGTATATTTATCTTGGAATTCACAAATACTGGATTCTTAAAAGAACTTTAAATAATGAGTCATATTCTTGCATTCATTTTATAAGAAGAATAACCCTGCTGGATCAAGACATTTTAGTCCAGTGTTTTGTTTCCTACAGTAGCTGATCAGGGGCTTCGGGGGGGCCTGTAAGCAGTAGATGGAGCGTCAAACATTGTTTCCCTCCCAATGATATTTGGAGGCAACATTGAATGTTCAAAATCAATAGCTCTTAGTAGAACTTTACTCCATGCATTCATCCATACTCTTTTGTAAAGCCATCCAAATTAAGGGTAATTACTATATGTTGTGGTAATTAATTCCACAGGTTAATGGTGCACTATGTGAATAAGTGATTTTTAAAAATCTGTTCTAAAACTCCTTCCACTCACTTTCAGTCCAAGTGTTTTTGAATGGAGCAAACTTTTCCCTTTTGACTTCCCCTGTGGGATCCATAATGTTATATCCCTGAGTTGCCTTTTTCCAACTCAGAGTACTTTACATTGTAGCGAAATCTTGTAAGGAAGTTCAACACACACACACACACACACACCACAATTCAGGTTGCCCTCTTCTGAGCTTTTTCCAGCTCTATTATATGGCTTTTCAAATGTGATGACCTGACTCTATATAGTATTCCAGGTGCAGACATAACTGTTTGGTCTGGCACATCTAGTCTGTCTGATGGCGCAATGCCAACATCAATTGGCATGGCTGAACAAGTAGATGTTTGGTCTGTTATTCTAGAATAGTCTTAGTTTACAGAGCCTAAGAATTCAGATTTTCTGACTTAATTCCAAGGAAAGCCAGTGGTTAAGTTGTTGAACAGGATCTGATAGATCTAGGTCTGAGTCCTCCTTGAGTCTTGGAAACTTACTAGATGACTTCAGGCCAGTCACCGTGAAAACATGAAAGAAGGAGTGCTCTGTATGCCACTTTGAGCTCCTGAAGGAAAGATGGGCTATAAAGCTATCAAATAAATAAACAAAACAATTTTGTGTCTCAATCAAATTGAGCAACTCTGTTTTGAATTCTTGCCTTTGTGAGGCCCTTCTGTGCATTTCTACACATTTTCAATTTATACGGTTAGCAGGAACCCCAAACTCCCTCTTCTAGTACGCTTCTCTGTGTCTCTCTTTCCTAACATTCGAGCAGACAGTGAGGATTTCCAACAACCTTTAAATATATTTATTATTTCGCTATGTTTATTTTTTATATGATTCTACACTGGGTAGTTTTTTAAAACTTTTTATTTGTTGTCTTTTTAAATGTTACTATTCTCCATTACTGAGATTTGTTTTTGTAATTATTAACTGAGATTTATTTAGCTGAATTGCCTTGTGTGTCTGTTTCAAAATGGAAAAGCAAGATGTAAACCTGCAATGAACAAATGCAAAACTGAAAGAATGGATTTAAAATCCCAGCATAGAATTAATATTAAGCTTTTCAAATAGATAGATAGATAGATAGATAGATAGATAAATAAATAAATGCATAATATTGACATATTACTGTACAAGTACCTTAAATGATAGCCAATGCCCCATTTTTTCTTCAAGAACAGAGATGAACCAACACACTGCAGCCTGCCATGTGAAATAATAGCTTTCCGGTCTAGAGAAAGAGCAAACAATATTTTTTTAGTTTATCTCATTCAGTAGTACAAAGTTTTCTTTGCCAAATTCAAACTATTAAACATATAGTTATTGGAAAATTAGTAGGGTCAATGCAGAAAAAAATCAATTTCACTGGTTTGGTATAAAATATTCATAGATAAAGGCATATGAATTAGATCTAATTCTTACTGACATAGAAGAGGAGCAAATTCAAAGTAAAATAGACAAGCTAGCATGCAAGTCTGATCCTTTAAGGTAGGATGAGCCAACAGTGGCTAGAATGGTAACTTTACATAGCCCACATTCAATTTTTTTTATTAAGGATTTCAATGAGGTGATAGAGGGAATACTTTTTAAATTTGTAGATGAAATAAAATTGGGTGTGCTAGCCCATATCCTAGAATCTTAGAATTACAAATTTGGAAGGGACCACAAGATCCCTTCCAAATCTAATCAAACTCATTGCAATGTACAGGAAAACTAATTACACCATCCATGAGAAATGGCTGTTCAGCCACCTCTCAAAAACCTCCAGAGACAAAGAATCCACAACCTCCCACTCTGGCACAGTTCCTCCCATCAGGAGATGAAATAAAATTCAAAATGAGAATGGTTGGCTGGAGAAATAGGCTGAAAGTAACAGCATGACATTTAATAGAGACTAGTTCTTCACTGGAGAAAAAATCAAATGCACAGATACAGGATGGGGATATTTAGTAATTGTAGTTGTGAAAAAGATGTTGGTAGTGGTACAAGGCAGTGTGGTGATGCTGCTGCAAAAGAGGCATATACAATTTTAGGCTGCATTAACAGAAGTCTAACTGAAGAGAATATGTGAAGTTCAGGGTTGAACTGTGGAGTCCTTGGGTTTTCTGAGCTTGGTTGCTTTCTTGAAAATGTTTCATTATCCAGCTAGGTAACATCTTCAGCACTGAAGATGTTACCTAGCCGGGTAATGAAATGTTTGCAAGAAAACAACCAAGCTCAGAGAACCCCCAAGGATCCCACAGAAGTCTAATTTCCAAATCATAGGAAATAGAACCACTTTATTCTACTTCGGTCAGATTCCACTTTAAGTACTGTGTCGCAGTCTGGGCACCATACTTTAAGGAATCATAGAAATTGGAACAGGTTCAGAGGTAATGAGGAGAGCAAACAGAATTTATAAAATAGATTAAAGGAGATTGGATATATGTAGGCTTAAAAAAAACCTGAGTTGGGAAATATGATCTCTTGCTCCAGATTGCAGGATATGGAACAATGGCTATATCTTACAGGAGGGTAGAACGTTACAAAAACTTCCTATCACAGCATTTTCACAATGGAACCAAATACCAAAAGAGCTGGTTTCCCCTTCATTGGATGTGCTCAAGTTAGGGTTTGTCAGCTATCTGGGAATTTTTGATATGTATTTCTGCACTGAGGGGGTTGTACTCAGTGGCCTAACTCATGATCCTACTCTGATGTGATATGATAAGCTTACTCAGTGGCTTTAGCCTGATTGCAATGTATCTAAACCTTGTCAATCCTACAGGGTTGTACTTAAAATGTACTTTTGGAAGAAAGTTAGAATGCAATTGTGTAAAAATATATACAATTTGTTGATTATACTCTGAAAGATACAAATCTTGGTTTTTCAAGGAATCTTGGAAAGAAACATCTTAGGCATTGTCCTTTAGCTTTTTCTAAAGGAATTCAGTTGCAGGACAGAACAATTGATTTACAAGGAACAAAGAAAGGAAGTAACAAATGATGGATCTAAAAAGCCCCTGGAAGTGAAAGGTGAGTAAGAGGTTCAGTGGGCATAGCAGGGAAGAGATGAACAGCTGTAATGCATAAAAATCCTGAAATTGGCAGGAGAAGCAGAGAGATTTCAAAATACCTAAGTCTGATTCTGAATTCTAGGAATAACAACTGACTCAGTGATATATGTGACTGAATTTAAGAAGTTACGTGGATCAGCTGAATTAGTGCAGTTCAGTAGAAGACCTTTCTGATAGGTAGGAACAGAAAGAGAAAGGATGGTATTTGAAGAAATAAAATTACGATATGTATCTATTTCTATACTTTCTCTTTGTTCCTACATTCTAATCTGCTTCACTATAAGGAGGTCTACTCACCAGAAAAGATATCAGCTTCATCCACAAACTGGGTAGCGAACAAAATGACTCGATCTGCTTTGCGTTCATTCAGGAAAGCCCACACTTGGTGTCTAGAATACGGATCCAATCCAGCAGTTGGCTCATCTAATAATAATACCTACAGGTAGGCATTTGATTGCATATCTTAATTTAACACATTAAAAATTAGCACATGGCATTCATTATTGACATCCAGTTTCTCTTTATGAGGACACAAGAATATTGCAAAAATATGTGGTTTTTGAAATAACATTTAGAAGATTTTATTTTATTTTTACAATAGAAAATAATTTCATTAAAATGTAAACATTTCACTTAACATGCAAAAGTCAAGAAAGTATTAGGAAAAGTGTTGAAAAGCTAAAGCTGAAAGAAAGGGAAACCATAGCAAAATTAGGGATTTCCAAGATTACTATCTGTGCAGGTCATCAGTAAGAAGGAAAACTTTGCGTTCATCAAAAGAAGCATACTTAATGGAGTATGTGCAATGGGCCTTTTTGCCTAATAGTGGGTTTACCTGTGGTTCTCCTAAAAATGTAATCCCAAGAGATAATTTTCGTTTTTGTCCACCACTTAAATGATTAGCTTGGGTGTTTTGGATGGCCTCGATGTCCAAGAGGGTCAACAATTTTTCAACCTATAAAAAACATAAGTTGCAATTATAGACCCTTAAATATTTTGGACTTCTTACCTAGATGTTCAGTCTCTTGATTGAATGCAAGTTAAAATACAGGCAGTCCATATATTTTATATACTTAATTTTAATGTATGTTTGGATCTTACTTATGCTGCTACTCCTCTTTGAAACATTTCAAAATTTTGTTCCCCCCTTAGCTAGGATGTTTTCAACTGTCTTGATCTCCAAAACAGTAAGTAATTTTTCATTGTAAAAAATGTACAGACACAAATGTCAAACACTGAAAGCTGAATCTTTTGTACTTATTCAGATGTTCAACCTCTTGGCTAAATGAAAGCTAGTGTTCAGGCAGACTATATACCTCAATTTTATACAGCTATAACTTGCTCACTCTTTTTCTGAAGAATCCAAATGATATTGCTACCAAATTATTGCACTCCAGTGTTTTCTTGGCTTTTTTCCCATGGTTTAAAGATCAACTTTGGCTTATTCCTCTGATTTTCATTGCTGTTTATGTGGCAGTCTTCCTATGGGCTGGCTAACAAAACCTGATCCATCTGGCAGAGGAATGGTTTAAAACAGGGCTTTTCAAATAGTGCTTTGTGGAGCCCTGGGGCCGTAAATAAAATAAATATTTTTAAAAAACATTCATCAAGAGGAACATGCTCCAGTGAGAATGCATGGGAAAATCAGATGAATATTGTGGTTTAGAGAGAACATGGAAGAATGAGATGGAAAGCGTAATGCACACAGACCTGGGTAAGGCAGAAAAATAATGGGGGCAGTGGCGGTTCCTTTCCATTCCTGCTATATTCCGGGTAAAACCCTCTACAAAAAACATAGCAAGAGTTCTCCTTTCCAGAAAATACACCATGGTGCCTTGGCAAGAGCAACTCTTACACAAGCAATATGGTTTTGACCTCAACTGCATAGTTCAACAGTGCTAATGAGTTTATTGCTGATGTCCAAGAGGACTGGAAAAGGAGTAATTTGCTCAGAAAAGTAGCACATTTGGAAAGTCATGTATGGATGAGGAAACTTTAGGGAGCATGATAAGGAGCAGTTTCATTCCTCTGATCAAATCTGTAGAAATTAGTGTGTACACTACCTCTATTATTGAATACATGAATTTCAATTCAGTTCTATTAGGCCCCAAATATTTCTACAGGTAAAAGACATGGGAGTATTATTTTTTCAAAACACTATAAGGAGATTCCTCCTAAGAGAATGTGGCTCTGTTATCTCAAACTATGTTCTGGAGCTTTGGATCCATCCCAATGTTGTTTAGCCAGTTTCTGCATAATTTAATATTTAAAATTAATATATTTAAATATATGAATGCATAATATGTTTAAACTCATATATACTGACAATATAATGACTCGTACAGGGTAGATATGACAGCCAGCAAAATGGTTTTAAAAAGTGAGCAGTTAAGCTGGTATCAACACTTTTGTCCCACTCATTCCAAAGGATAACTAATGTTTTCTAGAATGGACTGGCTAAATATAAATGCAGTCAGAGGAGAATAGCGTTAGCAGATCTGAAGGATCTTTGTAATACAAATCTGTGCAATACAACGTAATATAACAATACATTATTACCTCATTTTCTACAGCATTGGATGGTATCCCTTTTATTTTAGCAAATGTCTTTAAGTTTTCTTTCACTGTTAAAAATTCAAACTGAATATTGGATTGTGGACATATAGCACTTATTTCCCAAATCTTTTCCATGTGTTCCTTTTCAGATACATTGTACTTGAATATGGATGCAGAACCTGTAAGCATTAACAAAAAGATTGCACAGTTAATTTTCCAATTAAATAGGCTGATATTATTTTAGGGTATGATGAATTAAAGGCACCTTGTGACAAATGAGCTTTTCTGTTCTTGATCCAATCCATTATAATGTATACTGTCCATGACTGTCCTCAGGCTAGTTTTAACTTTAGTCTAAAGGAAGTTGTACTCCCCCCAATAGAGCTGGTCTGCACTGCAGTCTGAGAGCTCTCCAGGAGACCATGGACAGGGAAAACTTTATCCGGCTTCACCGCTGCACTGGTGAAGCCATTCCTGAAGAAGGATGTTCCAGTTTCAGTTACTCGTGCCTTCATCACCTGATACTTGGATGCTGTGCTTGGAGCTGCATTTAAAGAACTCTTTTTGGGGGGGAAGGGACTTCAAGTCAGCATTGACTCCTAGCAACTACCTGGACTGGTCCCTGCAGTCTTCTTGGCAAGATTTCGGAAGTGGTTTGCCATTGCCTTCCTCTTCCTAGGGCTGAGAGAATGACTGGGCCAAGGTCACCCAGCTGGCTTTGGACCTAAGGCAGGACTAGAACTCCCAGTCTCCCAGTTTCAAGCCTAGAGCCGTAACCATTACACTAAACTGTCTCTCCTTTAAAGACTACCTGGAAAAAAATAGCTAAACATTCTTTCAAAGAAACCTTAATATAAATCTGCATGTTGAAATATCATGTATCAATTTAACATTTCATGTCAGTACTAAAATAATATTTTACTAGGATTATTATACAATAACTTATAACCAATGTTGCTCAAATTATAAATTATAAACTGATATAAAGAAATTGCAATAATTACTGCCTGACCTATGAAGTTTAACAAATCTAGCAAATCATAACAAAATTACAATCTTACATTAAAGAAAATCCAAACTTTGGATGTGGCACAAACCCATTTGCAAGGTTATAATCCAACAATGGTTTCCACATTGTGCTAAATTTAGTGCCACATTTGTTTTTTAGATATGAAGTTAACATTTTAGCTAATTTTAATTTTTACCTATTTCTGCTTTTTTAATATTTTTCTTCCTTTTTATTTGATTGCACTTGCAAAATTAATCAATTAATACTTAAAAAAAAAAAAAGGAAACAAATTCTTAAATCATGCAATCTTGCCACCCAGAATCTATTGGAGTTGGCAGCTAATAAATTTGAATAAATAAAAATAAATTCATATACGTACATGTACATATCTAAACAAGAAATATCTGGAAACTAGAATTGGTCCAAGCTGCAGCTGCCCATCTGATAACTGTCTATCCCTGGTTTAGAAGTGTAACAGTGTAACACTAATATTACAGATGCTACATTAGTTGCCCAAAGTTTTCGGGTATAATTCAAGGTGCTGGTATTACCTACAGAGTCCTCTCAGGGCAATCTTCTCCATGGAAAGTGTAATGGTATGTGGGAATGATCTTGGGAGACAGGTGGAAGAGCTGCAGACTAGACAACGGCCAGACAAGGAGCAGCTGAGTCCACAGAAGAAATGTGGACATGACAAACATCTCAGAAGGGACCCTCCCTAGTTTCTTGGACTGTAAAGGTGAGGGGGGAGAGAT